GTTCATTAAACAGCTTGGCTTGGGATGAGGCTTGGGCTGATTGTGATTGCCTTAAACACTTTCATTATGTGATTACAGACAAACACATTAGTGGATGCTGTGTATTTTCACTGAAAGTTAACAGTTAATTGTGTGATAATAATCAGCAAGCCTTACAGGACAAAAGTAGCTTTTGTAGGCCATTTTTAAACAAACCCGTTCAACCTGTTTGTTTGCTCTCCTTTGGAAATTTGATTCCATTACAGCACTCTGCTCCTCCCCTGTCCTGCTGTAGGTCATACATTAACACTTGAAACATAAACATTGTTGTTTCAGTTACAGTCAATCAGTGTGGACATAACGAAGTGTTAATGTGTAACAGGAAGTAGTAGGTATATATTTTGTTTTTTTCCCCTGGTGTGTTCACACAGGATCTAAAAACTGGGCCCCATGCCTTCTTCTCTAAGTACTGTATGATCTGTGCCAGGCCACCACTCCTGGCCCAGCTCACTCTCACAGCGTGTTTTGATTTGTTGTCTTTTTGTAGGGCTGCTTACATTACGGGCTCCCCGATCCAGTGGTCAGCCCTCGTTTTGCGCTAGCAAGAGATTTCTCTGGGTTGCTTTTCCTCGCAGCTGCTGACTCATTTCCCACATTGGTATTCTGGTGCAGGGAGCTGAAAGAGGGAAAGATGGGAAGGGTTTCAGTTTGGGTGTGGGTGTGTGTACATCCGTGCGTGTGAGCACACGTTGTGAGGACAGACCACTGCAGTTGTCGGACATGGATGAAAGCTCACACACACTGCTGGAAGCTAGAGTTTTGGATCATATGGTAATATAAAGAAGGCATAGCAGTGTACTGACCCACATCACACCCTCCGTGTCCGCAGCAATACTTTACGAGAAGAGTCTGATTCTAAAAGAGCGTGTTAATTACCTTGTTCTGTATTAACTTGAAAATAAATTGTTAGTTCGTCTTTGGTCTCTCCTTGTTGTTGGAGTCAGCCTGATCAACAGTTCAGTGTTTTGGTTTTAGCTGATGGTGGACTGAGCATGTGCTGAACAATAAAGGAAAATGGGTGGTTAGTCTGATAACTGGATACAGTGAAAATAGTGAGCTGTGCGAACGGCTTGTCGATTGATTTCTGTCTTTCTTGCAAAGAGAAGAACATTGGTTGTGTGTTTGGGTTGCAGCAAAGAACAGAACATTGTTTGAAAAAGGCCTGGAAGACCATAGCAACAGGAAAGTCAGACTTGGGAGTTGGGAGGGAAGTAGAGGGGAGAAGCCAATATGAACTGCTGGATGCAGTGGTGCTCCTTATATTCTATTAGCCTACATTTTCAACCCATAATTACTAAAGTCTCCAAAGTCTAAACTAAAAAGCATCTTTCATCCTTAATGAAATTTCTGTCTGCTCTAGTTCTGTGAATCCATTTTAACTACCTAAATTAGAAGTTGATAAGCTTTGTCAGTCCTATTTATAGAAGCACTTTCAAGCTTGTTTTCAGAGAAATATAGAATCGTGTTAAAGATGCAAACAGGACAAAAAATGTCTTGGTTATATTTTTAAAATATAATCTTCAGTGCTACATGCCCTGGCTTGGCCTTTGTGTAATAACGATAACATCTATTTACCACTGGGGAAAAAAGCACAATAACTGGGTCATGGATTATAAACCTATGGCGATAAGCTTGTTCAAGTATAAAAGGAAAGAGGAGACTCGCTTGGGTTAATGGAGGGTCGAGGCTCCATGAATAGCATTCCTCCCTGCACCACAGAGCTCCAGTAGTGTGCATAATCTTCAATTTGCTAATCTTCTTTCATTTGGTGAGGGAGGTACCTGCAAGCGTACCAAATCATTACATGCACGTCTTGTTACCAAGAGGACACAACACAATCCCATTTGAAATAATGTTCGTGAAAATCACAAGGCTATTGTAAGTTGTAAAACAAATAGTTGTAGTAAATCACTTTGACGAATTGAACAGAGATTCTGGAAACTAGCTATCTGCACCGTCTTGGGGTGCGTCCAAAGGCTACATAGTGAGGAGACTGAAAGACAGAGGGACAAGAAGATTGTTTGTTTGATTCCTCAAGTCTTGACATGTTGGATCTAAACCTCACACCCTGTTGCCCAGAGTGGAAATGTTTACTAGACTACATCATACATCCTCATGGCACATGTCACAATCAATCTCTAATCCTTTAGAGCTACTCCTTTTATTTTTTTTAAATAGTCACCCTGTGTTGTTTTAACCACAACCTGGTTTGCACTCTGGGAGCACAAGTCAACATTTGTCACAGGGAATAGTGTCTCTCAGATATCAAAGATTATACACTAGAACACTCCACCTGGCAGCTCGGTGTTTCCAAGTAAGCCTATTTCTGTTTTGGTGTTAGTGAGACTATATTCTGGAGAGTGTATTAGGCTCTAATAGCATGCTTGGAGAATCATTTTAATTTGAATATTGGCCATCTTGATGTACGAGATGGAATCACAAATTTGTGTGGTTGTAGTCACGGAGAAGTATAGCAAAACAAAATCAGAAATAATATCGCATATCTAAGTTTGCAGATGTGTACATTTTGTTGTTAAATTAAAAATAAATTGAATAATAATTTAGTCAAGTTCTCAGATTTATTTTTTTAGAAACTTCTCAAACCTTCCCTCCTGTAAATAGTAATTTTTGCAATAATATGACTGAAGTGGTCTGCTTCTGTCTCAATGCTCACAGAAGATCTTGTCAATTTTACAAGCATTTGCTTGCCTTGGTTTGTGCGTGTCATGGCCTGGCTCCTGCTCTTCCGAGAACCACTCTGTCCCAGCTCACCAACTTGACATAACTTGAGAACTTAATGCCTAGAGCATATATTTGATATAAATAAAAGAGGGTGATTGAAATCTAATATTTTGTTCCTAGAATTTATAAAAAAAAAGTTTGGACTAAAAAAAAAAAAACTGGTCAGAGCACACACAGGACTTATGCACGAGATCAGGGTTCAGGATGCTTGTGTGGCTGTACGAGTGAAGAATGAAAAACCTTACTGATGCCACTTGAATGTAACCTTGAATAAAATCCGAAGTCAAATCCCAGTTAAAATCCAAAGTTTCAAGATGTCCAAAGGTTATGCCCCATATTTATTGCCACTGTGAGACAATATTTTAAATCTTCTTTATGTATTTCTCTTTTAGACCATTTATTAAAAAAAATTAATGGAATAGAATGAGGCTTAGTAAAGTTTAATATGAAGACTACTTCATTCTTTCTCTTTATTCATAATCTACCTGCAGCTCATTCTTTCCTATGTTTTCCCACTTTCCTCTGTTTAATTTCCAAGAGGCAACTCTTGTGTTTTGCACCACTAAATTAGGAAGCCTGCTATTCTGTAAAACTACAGTTCCTCTCTCATAAACTCCTGTTATTCACTCAGTCAGACGCACCTTTAGGTTGCACCTTTTACCTTGATGGCAGCATCCTGCAACCACCAACAACTAAATCGTCATGACAAAGAACCAGATTAAGATTAATGATGACCAAGCAGGGGATTTATGTTAACGACTCACTGTTGGGTTCATCTCCATAATCAGGTGGATGTATTTGATGGAGTCTATTAAACTCTAATCTACTTTTCATCACCAGTGCTGTATATCTATAAACCAGTCTCTTATAATTGAATCATTTATTTTTTTCTGGTTCTTCTCTCTTGTTCAGGTCCAACAGCTTGTTAATTTTACTCAGGCCTCTAGATCAGTGATCTTGCTTTGTAAGATTGTCTGAACCTGCTTAGAAATCTCAGCAGGCCTCGCTGCAATTCCTAGAAAACAAATTGGCAACTATTACACAACCATGTTGACCAATAATAATTACGTTTTTTTTTTGTTTGTTTGTTTTTTTTTAGCAAAAACTGTGGTTTGACTTTGTAAATGTAAAAATTTGCTGTTATGTTAAAAATCTATGGATTTTGGACTGTTCAAACAATGCAGGGTATTTGAAGATGCCACCTTGAGCTCTTGGAAACATTTGTCTTGAAAAGAATAATTGAGTAAAGAACTGTTTGTTGCAGCTCTTATTACAATGTTGCAACTGAATCACAACAGATATCGATCCATTTTATGCTGAATATTGTAGTGCTCAGTTTGACAGAGTGGATTACAAATACCATTTCTGCTTGATAGTATCAGAAGTATTTAAGGTAAATGGCAGAGAGTTTGGCGGGTGTTGAGTACTGGATTATGCCTTTTGACTGTGGGTTTTTATATTATTGTTATATTTTATTACTTTTTACCGTACTGATGACAACACTTGTCGCCTCCAAACATTGATCTTTGCTACATTCACGGCTTAGCTCTCCCCAGCTGTGCCCTACTTTCCCTGCTGCTCATGTTCTGCCATATGTGTGTGTGCTTTATAATTCCAACCAGAAAACAGCCTCTGGGACACATCCAGTGCTTTGCAAGGCCTGCCTGCAAACTTCACATCTTAAAACTCTAATGAAAGTCTTCAAGAGTGTGTCTTGGGAATGCGTCTGTTCAGAAGTGTGATTGATAAAACTGTGATTAAAGATACAAAAGATCACTAGCAAGAGTTGATGCGGTCTGTACAGTTCGATAACTTTTATTATTATTCAGCTTTATAATCTCTGCCAGACATTGTTGTGAGAACAATGGCCACAGTTTGATAAGTACAGGAGTGAATTTCAATGTCAATGGTCCAAATCATTATCAAAGGGCTCTGTAAAACGTGCTTCAGTAGTGCACTGATGCCTTAATTTCCCTAGTAAAGGTCCAAAATGTGAGTGTAATTCTCCCTCCCCATGCAGATTCTCTAAAATAAATAATGTGTCCTTGTTCAGCCTGCCAGGATAAATGAGAGTAACTCGGAAGTGAAAATAATTTGCCTATGTCTGCGCAGATCCCAAAGATACTCCTCAACATAAATCTATCTGATTGTTAACTGCTTGGTAAGGACATAGAAGGTGGTGTATTGAAGATATGCTCTTGATATTTCGACCAACACAGGTCTTCAATACCTTCTCCAATGAGGAATATGATCGGCGTAACGATGATGTGGACCCAGTCGCAGCGTCTGCAGAGTATGAGCTGGAGAAGAGAGTGGAGAAGATGGATGTGTTCCCTGTGGAGATTGAGAAAGGTAGGTTTAATAACACTGAAGGTAAATTCCTGTGTCATCAGCAACCGGAGAGAAACATTTCTCTCAGACACCTGTCTGATTCCAACACCAACAATCTGGTCGATCACTTCAATCATATCTGCTTGTCGTCACTAAATATTACTGCTCCTCTAAAGGTTAGGCCTACGTCTAAAGCTAGTAAGCAACCCTGGATAAATGACAGCATTCGCAGCCTCAAAAGGGAATGCAGGAAAGCAGAGCGCAGATGGAAAAAATCCAGTCTCCAAGTCCATTACCTCAGTCTGAAGGATTTATTAATTAAATACAATAACTTGGTTAAGGATGCGAGAACACGCTATTTTTCTGAACTCATTACTACACATAAACACAATCCCAGGTTTCTGTTTAAGACTGTGGATCAGCTGGTAAACCCAACCCCTCCTTGTGCCTCAGCTGGAAGTAATGATGACTGTGAATTGTTTTTATCTTATTTTACCAATAAGGTGGTGTCAATCAGAGCCTCTATTACCCACGCGGCCTCTTACTCAGAGGTTCCTCACCAGCAACAACAGAGTTTTAACCAGTTTTATCCCATCGACTTGTCTGAGCTTTTAAAAACAGTATCACAAATGAGAGTGTCCTCCAGCCCACTTGATGTAATACCTACAAAGTTTTTACTGAAAGTAATAGATTCTGTTGGGCCCCATTTGATCTCTGTTTTCAACAGCTCCCTATCTACTGGTTGTGTCCCTGATTATTTTAAAACGGCTTGCGTGAACCCACTTTTAAAGAAACCTGGTTTAGATCCCCCCCTCCCACATAATTTTAGACCAATTTCAAAACTGCCTTTTATTGCAAAGATTCTAGAAAGAATTGTGTCCAAACAGCTGCTCACTGTACTGGAAAATAACAAAATATTTGAAAAGTTTCAATCTGGTTTCAGGAAGTACCACAGCACTGAGACTGTCCTGCTTAAAGTCACCAATGACCTTTTAATGTCTGCTGATGAAGGCATGTGCTCAGTCCTGGTACTCCTGGATCTTAGCGCTGCTTTTGACACCATTGATCACAACATCATATTAGACAGACTGAGGCACTGGGTGGGGATCTCTGGTACGGCCCTAGAATGGTTTTCATCCTACCTGTCAAGTAGGAAGTTTTGCGTGTCTGTAAACAACTATGTCTCTTCGTTCTGTCCAGTTAAATATGGTGTGCCTCAGGGGTCGGTCTTAGGACCCATTTTGTTTTCCTTGTATCTGCTTCCCCTTGGACATATTATCCATAAACATGGCATTTCTTTTCATATTTACGCTGATGACACACAAATGTACTTGCCCGTCAGATCCACAGACCCTGGAATGCTGAGTTCACTTAACAACTGCCTTTGTGAAGTTAAAAAATGGATGTCAAATAATTTCCTCCAACTGAACTCAGACTAAACAGAAATCCTGGTCATTGGGTCCCAGCAGATGGCAGTATTTGATTGTTCCCTAGTAAATCACATTAAGCCTGTGGCAAAGAACCTTGGTGTTTGGTTTGATAGTAATTTAAATTTCGAGCAGCACACCACAAAGCTTGTTCAATCATGTTTTTATCAACTTAGAAATATAGCAAAAATTCGATCTATGTTAACTTTTAAGGACACCGAGACCATTTTACACGCCTTCATCTCATCACGCCTGGATTATTGCAACAGCCTTTTCACTTGTTTAACCCAAAAATCTATTGATCGACTCCAGACTGTCCAGAACTCAGCTGCCAGGCTTTTAACCAGAAAACAAAGAAATATGACCACATTACTCCTGTTTTAGCTTCATTACACTGGCTCCCAGTATGTTTTTGAATTGACTTTAAAATTATATTGATTACTTTTAAAGCTCTTCATGGCCTCTCGCCTTGTTATATTTCCGAACTTTTAGTCCCATACACACCAGCACGTACACCTTGAGATCCTCGGGCAGAGGTCTGTTGTCTGTTCCAGAGTCTCGACTGAAAACTAAAGGGGACAGAGCGTTTGCTGTCAGGGCCCCGAGGCTCTGAAACAGCCTGCCCGAGGAAATCAGGTCAGCTGAGTCAGTGAACTCTTTTAAGTCCCTTCTTAAAACATACTTTTATAGGAGAGCCTTTCCCGATCTTATTTGACTTTATTTTATCCCTTTTATTTTATTGTATTTTACTAATTTTATATTTATCTTAAACATGTATTTTAGTCTTTTCAATGTTTTCATGCTTTTATCTTGTATTGTTTTTGTATTATTGTCTCTTGGGTATTATTGTCTTTACACTTGTTAAAGCACTTTGTAACTTGTTTTTGAAAAGTGCTCTACAAATAAAGATTATTATTATTATTATTATTTCAAAATGGATGGAAACATGGATTCATAAACTTTTAGAACTGACCCTATTTGTATGCTTCTTCCCAGCCTTTAAAATCTTCATTATTTCTCTGTATTCAGGAGACAATGGACTTGGCATCAGTATCATAGGAATGGGAGTGGGAGCTGACCAGGGCCTAGAGAAGCTTGGCATTTTTGTGAAAACAATAACAGAGCAAGGAGCAGCTGAGAAGGATGGACGGTGAGTTAAAGCGCTGCAAACGTCGTTTATGTACAACCCCACATTTATTTCTCATTTACAAAAAGTGACTCAATGTTTTGGGATACAACCGGAAACATGGCACTCACTTACTGTACACTGCACCACCGCATGTTTTTAATCACACTCTAGGAGTTGCTCACCCTGCCCCAGGGCCCGGTGACACACAAGACAGAAACAATCGGATTTATTTATAACATTTGTTTTACATCCAACTACTAAGGCTACTGTATTTAAAATTAATCTTTACTACTATCCTGAAGGCAGTGCATAACTTTTCTGTGGAAATTCTTTGAAAACCTTTTCTTGTTATTACTATCTTTTGTATCTCTAGCATACAGGTGAATGACCAAATAGTGGAGGTGGATGGTATCAGTTTGGTGGGCGTCACTCAGCTGTTTGCTGCTACAGTCCTGAAGAACACCAAAGGCACAGTAAGGTCAGCTCAAAACACGTCTCCTAAAAACAGCCTTATTGACAAAGATCTTGTTGGTGATAAGACTGAGCCACCATTGCCTCAATTAAAAATTACTGGTAAAGAGTGGAGTCTCTTTATCTCCAGAGGCCATGAATGATTCTTCAATGGTTCTTTCATTTATCATAGGGAAATGAAACACCCACACATGACAAGGGCATGCTTAAACTGCAGTCCAAGAAATTTACATATCCCTGTAGCGAGAAGTGGTATTTGTAAGCAACATGTAAAAAGTGTGTTTTAACAAAACAGGTTCCTCATTGGACGGGAGAAGCCAGGGACGCAAAGCGAGGTAGCCCGCCTCATAAGCGAGACACTGGAGCAGGAGAAGAATCAGCAGCAACATCAACTCCTAGATGACCCCTATGAACACTCTACAGAGGAGGTGAGTCAGGTTGTAATTAGAAAGCTCAGTTTATGCCATGTGGGAAAGATTCCCATGATGTTTGCATGATCAAGACTGTTTTATGATTACAGAGCGGGTGATGTGAGGATTAAAATACTGTGCATTGACGATATATATCCTTTAAATTTGGGTTTATTTACATTGAACGACGGACTTTGGCTGTTGTAAGGCGTATTTGTCTGGTTGTCATTCCCTTCTGTATGATTAAATGCCATGTCGGCTATATCGGTGCTTCCAGAAAAGTTAGAAAAGTTGTATTAACAGCTTGGCTGTTTACGTGAACGCTATTCACAAGCCGGAAGCTAGTAATTACTATAACCCCTACATAAGACATGGCATTAGGTCCCTCTCAGCTTGACCAGGAAATGAGCAGCTGGATGTGAGTAAGCCATGTGTCACCATTCTGCTGTGTTAGAAGGTGTTCATTCAACAGCTGCCCGTGTCTGCTAGAATTGTGAAATGTTTGCTTTCCTGAAGTTCAAGCAGCCACAAGCCCCTGTTTTTATGATGAAGAAACTGAGCAGGGAATAAATGTGGGATTTAGTGGTGCAGACGAAAAAAGGAATGTTGCAAAATTTGAAGTGAGGACGTGGACACCATTTTGAGAGGCTCTGTGGTTATGCAAAGTGTGTGTGTGTATGTGTGTAAGTATGCTAATAATCTTGTTATCCACACGTTAGTGTGTTCTTTGCTACAGATATGTTACAGACATTTGTAGCCAAACTCCTGCACTGCCTCCCCAATGAACCAGCCTACTAATGTTTGGTTGTGATGTTGTATTGATTGGAGGGGCTGTGCCACTGGAAGTGTTGTTGACACACGCTGAGCATGTTTCCGGGCATGTAGGGTGTGTTGGTGTTTGCGATATGTGATGCAATGTTTGTCATGTTTCAGGAGGAGCGCTATGAGGAGGAGGAGGACGAAGCAGATGAGAGGATTCTGGGCTCTAATTTCTCTCCAGGGCGGAGCGTAGAGGTGTTTGAGCTGCCTGATTCAGAGGCTTTGTTTATGCCAACCAACATGGACAGCTCTCAGATGGCATTCAAGTTCAATGAGGTATTACCCACACTATGACTTTCAGTCTTATGTGGTTTAAAATATAAATCAAAGTTTAAACCACCATTACTTAATAACTTACAGTTATTAATAAATTTCCTATTTTTGTTCCTTAGCTGCAGCTCAAACACAGCATTGCTGAAGCTGAAATAAATCAACTAAAGGAAAAGGTATGAAGATCGGAATTTTCTTTTTTCTTTTATTGTTTTTAAGATATTAAAGATATTCACATAACATGAGAAATACAAGAGAAATAAATAAACTTTAGAATAAATACAAATTAATATTGTACAATATATAAGAAACCAAAACAGAAAAAGACTTTCATAAACTTTATATTTTCTGAAGTTGGGACTTTGGGACCGTTTTTGAGAATGATGGTTGGAGCATTCTTGTTTCTGAACTTTTAACTCTTATCTCTTCACAGTAAGTAATGAATATTCAGAAGATACTTCTTTTTTTGATAACTTCTTAGGCTGTACAAGTACATTCATTAGAAAGATTTGATGTATCAAACTGTGTATGTGAAAATGGTGATGCACTTACTGTAGGTTAAGATAACCGAGTATAAAATGCATAAGCATATAAAATGTGTGACCTAGTTCTCTTAAGTTACTATTTAATACAACAAGTAACAGTAAACAGACTGTATCACTAAACCAATTCAATTTAGCCAACCAGGGTAACATGTCACCATCTCTGCACAGCTAAGGGCATCTGAGGAGGACAAATCCTTGTGGGAAGACAGGGAGTCTGCACTGGAGCAAAAAATCGAGGATAACAACAACAAAATCCTGAAGTTGGAGAGTTACTGGCTGGAAGCCCAGGTTCTGTGTAAGACTGTGAATGAGCAATTAGCTGAGACTCAGACTCAATATGAGACCCTGGACAAGAAGTACAACAAGGCCAAGAAACTGCTCAAGGACTACCAGCAAAAGTGAGTTTGTTCTTCACTGATGCAGGGTCAGTGCTGTTGGATTCAGTGGTTTACTTAAGGCAAAGTATTAATATATTAAAAATACAATGAGAAGTAAAAAAAAAAAAAAAATTAAAAAAAAAAAAAAGGTTAAGTAGTGATTTAATTAAATTGGTATATGAAAAAATACAATAAGCAAATAGCACACAAAGAACATAAAATGTGTATATAAGCAATCATGCAGACATTTGTTTTGACTCAAAAGCCGCTACATAAAGATGTCTGGAGATGGGATTTAAAAATGTAAAAAAGAGTGATCGGGAGAAGTAGACTCTTCCTGGGGATTACATTGCTTCATCAATAAGACTTCAGTGACTAGAGTTGGTTATAAACTGGTGTCAAACCATGCAGTGCTTTAAAAACAAAGAGGTAATTTAAGGTAGTTGGATAAGAGGGAATGTTTGCAGCATGATTTTTTTTACAATCCATAAGTTTTATCATATTTCAGTCTAAAAAAAACATTTGTTGAAGAGCTGTACCTTGGTGCATCCTGATGTAACTTGAGTTTGTGTAGAATATCCTTTTTGTCTTAAAAGGAGAAACTGAAAACACAAGATGATTTTTTTAGTCAGAAGGTGTTATATCACAAAGCAGGGTGGAATATGACACTCTGGAGCTATAGTAGATGGATATATAAATATAATTTTAGTACATGAGAGGGAATAATGTCTGAATGATTTAATAAGCTTATTGTGTGGTTAAAAAGGTTTAGTGGTTATAAGAATCATAGAGCAAAGGGTTGAAGAGTCATTTCACCCAAATCATAAAAACATTTTCTCACATATCCCTAGTGGGATGAACCCATGCCAATAGTTCTTGTTTTATCTGCTGAGGTATAAAAATATATATTTTGTGACAATATATTTTCCCATTTATACTCTGCTTTTTGCTCCTAAAAGCACAAGTGATGTTTTTAAACAAAGAGATCAGCTCTGATTTTACATTTTATGATTTTGTAAGGAGCATATCTGCCAGTGGAATGAAGCTGTTTAGAGATAATAACATAAAATAGAACATGTTTACACACTAAAGGTCTGATGTGAAACCACATTTTCCCTTTTCCTCCCCAGAGAAATTGACTTTGTGAAGAAAGAGGAGGAGCTGAAAAAAATTCTAGATGAGAAAGACAAGTGGTACAAGGAGCAGCTGGAGAGCTTGCAGAACAGGGTAAGGCCTCAGCTCGAGGAAGAAGAAACAAATGCTTATACACCCCAGCAGAGTTGCTAGAGGCACTGACATGAGCCTGAGTATTGTCTTGTCCACAGATAGCTGTCCTGGAATCTCAAGGGAACTCAGGCGTGGAGCGTCACAGTGGTCGGGACTTAGCAAGAGACAAGACATTAGGCGGCCAAGACCAAGTTACCAGCACACAATCTGTTGACTCACTACTAGGTACAAAGGCTTACTACAATTAAATTAGATTTAAAACGAAAGTACACACGTCACACTTTAATTGTGCAATCTGTAAAACATTCACAAGCACACATCATAAACGCCAGTGACCATGGTGAATAATTAATACTGTGCGCTGTGTATTCTGACTTACTTTGTACGTTTTTTTTCTTCTCTTGTGTAGAACAAGACTGGAGTGAGTTGGTCCCTGAGACTGAGCGCTTGGACACAAGTGCACACAGAGCAAAAGGCCTGCTGGCTCAGAAGGCCAGACGTCAGCCTCCGTCTCGAAGCAAACTGAAGGAGAACCTTGCAGTGGCTTCAAGTCACTCTCAGGTCCGGCAGGAACAGCTGAAAGTGATACATTGCTTAATTTACTGCAAGCTAAAGCCCCATGTTGTATGAGCATATAATTGGATTGAACAGTCTACTCAGGCGAGAAGTAAGGTATGCCATGTAACCTGAAACCCCATCAAGGCACGCTTACGCTCAAATCGCCATCTTGGGGGTAAAACTAATGGTGATGAAATCCTGTGTTTTGCGTTTATAGTAGAAGCAGAGCACTTGTTAACTTGAATAATAGTTAACTTTTTGTTGTGCAGCTTTTCTTGTGAGGCAGTACTTTTCCTAAAAAATAGAATTGTCTTAGCATACTCACAGCTGTCCTAAAATACAATAGCAAACACCTAGATTGTCTTTTTTTTTTTTACAAAGCAATAATACACCTTTATAACAAGGCAGACATGTTTGATACATTTAAAGCAATTAAAATAATAATACAAAGTAGCTCTTGCACCAAGAACTATATTTCTACCTTTATCTCAGCCAATCAGAACTGAAGAGTAGAGTTTTATGAATTATTTTTTTATTAACTTAATAGCTTCTTTCACTTCTTCCATGCACTGTCCTTGTAAAACCTTTGTTCCCACAGGAAACTGAAGAGGAAGAGGATCAAGAGGAGCAGGAATCTCCCAGGAGGAGGAGGTCCATCCAGGAGAGCCTTTCCCTCCCAGTGCCTGTGTGCTATCCTGGAAATGGACAGAGAGATGATCCAGGAGAGACCAAAGATAGATCCAGGAGTAAGGCAGAGCTCTCCAGCAGCCCGTCTTTGTCACCATCACAGGGAGACAGTGTTGAAAGCAGCGGAAGTCCTTCTTTGTCCCCTCCAAAAGACATCTCCTCATCACATTCCCCCTCTGGGTTCATGCGCAGTGCGAAGAAGAGGGAGTCCAAAGGCAAGAGCAAAGAGCTAAAAGGTATCCAAGACCTAAATGTGTGATGGCTGCAATAGCAGTCCTTTCTGTTGCTTCGTTACTGAGCCTGATGATTATTGTTTCATTTCAGAGGAGCTAAATGAGGCATCATCAGCAGGAAAGCTTAAGAGAAGATTTCCAGACTTTGGGTAAGTCTCCATAGTGATCACTGTCAATTGTTTCCCAAGTTACCATCACTTTTGCTCTAATGAAAAAAATGTCAATGGTCGTCAACAGAGGCCTCCGGAAGTCAGGTGGCAAGGGGAAAAAACATGACAAGGAGGCGATGAGAGCATCTTTGGACAGCAGGTACGTTCATGCTGATCAGATTCATTTTTAATAATTTAAAGGTGACAAATATTCCAAATATCTATTGAGTTGTTGGGGTTCTTTTCCATGTTTTGTTTGTTGGAGTTACAGACAATATTTTTACTGAATTTTTAATGGAAATAACTCCATGAAGACTTTAACTGCAGTGTTACTGGAATCCATGTTACTGTGGAAGTAAATATTGAGCTTTCTACTTTTTTGTTGCCTAATCTTAATACAGGTTGTTTTTTTCCTTCCTTTATCTGACGGTTATTACTTATTGAGTAATTTTAATACAACACATCACGTATTAAGCTATCACACGTGTCTGTGAATAATTGTATCTTCCTCTTTCTGCGCTGCCTAGGGGATCGGCAGAGTTACTGGAGGAGTCTGGAGGGAACCTATCTCCTGCAGATTCAATGACCTCCATCCCTACATGTATGCCCTTCTCCTGGTTTGGAGACAAAGAGAGGGACAGAGACAGAGAGCCCTCATCTTCCAGCAGCAGTCTGCCGTTCACTGCAACTGAAACCAGCAGTGAACAAAGCCAGGATCGCAAGAATAAGGTAACTTCCTCTACCTTTATGTGAAAAAAGATATTGGGCATATAGAGTATTAGTATCCAGCACAGTGTTGAAATTAGTTATAAACTTAATGAGAGATAAGTGAGATTGAGATATTCTCTCTGTCATTCTGCTCTCATCACTGATGACTCGTCAAGCTGTAAAACAGTCATTGTCTGTCCTCCAACAATAATTTTTTTTCTTCACTGAAAGAGTAAAACTAGTAGACATATGACGGGAGGCTGTTTTCAAAATAAGCTACACCACGATACAGTAAGTGGATTCACATGTTAGCCATTAGCGAGAGCTAGAGAGAGGATTTGGTGGCTTTTCAATGAGTTTGAAAATAGTGACACATGACGAGCATCCAGCGAAACGCCTGGCTAACTGTCACAGAGGCTGCGGTCAGGCTGGTGTTCCCACGATGCTGTTTAATGAATTCAAGACACGAGCTGAACCAAAGAAGATATGATAACTGAGAGAGTAGTGTTGAGTTTTGTTGCTGTGTGCTTATGGCAGTTTTTGTCAGTGCTTTGCTGCAGGGACATTTATCTCACTGACCCGTGTTTCCTTTAAACAGACAAATCTCTCCTGGTCCTCTTTATTCAGTCGCTCATTAGATTTGGTACAGTATACACATTTTATTTTACGTATCATTTTTAGATGACATGGTAGAGCATTACTAACAAATGTAGTCCTGCCATTTTTACTTTCTCTACATCCTATGAATAATTCAGTTTCTTTTGCAGTGGGTATGTGGTAGTGTTATAGGAAACTAATTTTCCTTTTATCCACATTCAGAAATCCTTGAGGCTTATATTAGCGGAAACAGATTTAGCTAAAAAAATATTCTAGGGCTCATTGCACCAGCTAATCTGAAATTTGATCGGAGATTTGGGTGTAAAGTCAACACTAATTGCTATGTTGTACCTAACTTGTATTGTGCAAAGTGTTGTTTTTTTGTTGTTTTTATTAGTGGTGAAATTCTCACAATATGTTGAAGCTAAGCTCCACTTAAACTTGCACATAGCTGGTGCAACAGCCTGCAGGTCTGGACAATATTTCCCTTATTCCAAATTGAACACACATCTGTGTCTGAAAAGCAAGCAACAGTTTAATTTTGAAAAGTACATTATCACTTTGTCACCAAATAGATCCTCTTAATGGCATCTCCTTGAATTAATTTAAAACATTACCCCATACCCCAAGTAGTAGTGTTAGTTTTTGTAGTTTAGACGTTGGTGGTGGATTGGTTTTAGTTTTAATCACCTTGATCTTCTGCCTTCCTCTCACGTGTTGACGATCACAGTCACTCATTGTTCAAATCATTGACCTGGATTGCTGCCACTTTAATCACAGCTTTAACAATTTATCATAATAATTTCAGTCCTTTTGGAAACAGCACTGCCCTTCCCCCCACTCACACACACCTGTAGTGTTGTATTTGTCTGCTTCTCCCAGTAAAGAACTATTGTTTGGTGATGTGTTGCTTTAGTAAATGCGTTCCTTGTTTCCACTTGTTGCAGAGTTTTTCTGTCATAGATGATTCTAACCCTGCCAGTCCCCATTCAGACATCTCTGGGTTAGTTGCTGAACCCAATCTGTCTGGGCGCTCACACACTTTAATCTTCTCTTCCAGCGAGGTGAGTGCTCTCCTTGTTGCGCAGTCACAAAAGCCGTGTGGGACGCCTTGATGAAGCTGAAAGGGGACATTCTCAAGCATGCTCTTTGAGCCTCCCCACTTTCATAGCTGAGATTAAATCGTGAATGCAGGGGGAATAGAAGAGAGCTGCATGTGTGTTTGTGTTAAAGCTATTTTGTTTTGTGTTAAAACAAGTCTTGTGGCTTTGCTTCTCTTAAGTCAGCTGTGATGTTAATAGTTTGCTAGTTATGTCAGAAGCGTCAACCGGTGCTTCATGTTCTTTACAAGTTTTGGCAGACCGCAGTACAATGTTGACTGCCCTGCTGCCTGCGCAGTGATGTTTCAGCATCTGTTGTCTCTGATATAATAGTTTCAAGTCTCTCTCTCACTCACTCTCACTCTCTCACTCAAACGTAGAGTATAAAGACACGTCTGCATCTGAGAATGTTATTGGTATTTTGCTGTCATTGCATGCTTGTTGTCTTAGTGCTGGCTTGGGAAATTTATACACTGCACACAGTTTTGTTCACCAGAACGTGCACTACATGTTCTTTGTTGTTTTCAGCATCTTTCCACATCTAAAGAAATAATAAATGTACAGAGATAAAATAATCTCAAACAGCATTTATTTAAGTGAATGTGTGAATGAAGTGGAAAACATGGTTAATGTCTGCATTTTAGGGCTGCACGATTAATCTTATTGCAATTGCGATGTTGTCATGTGCGATTACATAACTGCAAAAAGTGTGCAGACAGAAAATATGTGTCTGCAGTCTGCTCATTATCTCCACCCACACCAGGCTCTCACATGTGCCCCTAAAAACAGATAAAACTACATGCAATAAGAAAAATGTTTTATGAGCAGTGTGTGATTAACTTTTAAGACAACAACTGACAGTATCCCCGCCGCACCGCTAATTGTTCCGAACATAGGCGGACGCGCCACTGGAGCACCGAGAGAAATGCCGGTGCTCCAGTCGCTCTGTGATAGAGACAGAGAGACGTCATTAGAAAACAAACTGGGAGAAGATTTTAACGTTAGCTGTATCAGTGCCTTTTGTTGTTCACATGTTCAACTTTTCACAGAGTTGACGTGCTTGTCAGTCACTTTTCGTCAACCAACAATATGATTATTGACAAGTTGGTAATTAGCATTAACAAATCCAGTGTACAGCCTTTTGCTTGCACAAGGATTTGATGAATAAAAACAAGCCACAGAAATGAAACAGTTGTAAATGGATTTAATGTTCAACTAGTGGTAAGAAAGTATATACTATTATATGAAATTCTAATGAATGTAGTATTTAAAATATTATTGTTATACTAATGGTAAATTTATTATTATTATTTAATACACTCATGTACAGTTCCTCCTCCAGGTTTGGGAATAGAAACTGCATTAGACAGATGTACATTGAGCCGGTGCAAGTGTGCCAGTATTTGCTGCTTCTAGCCGCCTCCTCCGTAGAGGAACACGCTCCCCATGTTCTGTTTTACATCTGTTTTACTAGTTATTGTTATAAAGTGTTTTTTAACTTTGTTCAGGTTGAGAAATGCACATTTCATAACGTCAGTATTACGTGCATTTCTTGATAATTAAGCAGGTAGACTCATAGTGCACATTTGTTCCATTATAATCAAATCGCAATATTGTCCACAATAATCACAATATGACTTTTTTTTCTCCAAATCATACAGCCCTACTGCATTTCTTCACTTATGACTTATTAATTTATAGTCTAGATGATGTATTTTTTTCCCCGATGCACTACACATGAATAATCTTTAGAGTGCAACTCCTTATGACACACAACAGTTGAACACTAAAAGCCAGAAGGTGGTTGAACCCTCTCAAACTTTCAGAATCCTGCACAGAAATGTTCAGAAAAATATATTTCATATCATCATACAGAAAGAAAAAAATGTAAATGCTCTTACTTAAAGCAGCTGTATGTTTACTGTTCTAATATCTGTTTGGATCTTCTGTGTCCTCTGTAGACTTTGGATGATGAACCAGTAGCTCCAGGAAAAGAGTATCAGTGGCAGAACCGGCCCGTCTCTGAATGGACCAATCAACAGGTCTGTCACTGGTTGATGGGCATGAATATGGACCAATACACACCTGAATTCACAGCTAAGGGTGTGGACGGCCAACAGCTCTTGAACTTGGACAGTGACAAGCTGAAGGTAACAAAAACAACAGCTGATCATTTACTTGAATTATCTGCATAATAATGGAATGATCATTTAAGAGTGATGGTTTAATGATTTAATGTTTGGTTTAATGAAATTTAGTTTTACTGTACCAGGCCTCTTTCATTGCAGAAGTCATTGTTTATTCAGGACTTGTCAGGCTTTGACTGCCTCCTTGTGGCCAGAAGGATTTTTCCTGTTGACAGATGCAGCTAGAGAAGACTGAATTGTTCCCACTTCATATTAAATTTTGTGCATCATTAGAGGGGTAAAAGAATATTGAGGACATAAATGAGTGAAACTGCTCTGACAAGAGTATTTAACTGAGATGATGACAAGACACGATGAGATGATCTTGTTGGATTTAATAGGGTTTTTTTCAAATTGGGTTAAAATTATAGTTGCATTTTTCTTCCTGATGTCAGCGAAAAACATTTCCCACAGTTACACCACTACATAGATCGAAAGGGCTTCTTTCTAAAAAGTCTCACTGATGTTATGAAGCCATCTTTCACAGTAATTTTGGTCTAGAGCTGATTAGTCACTTGGTAGAAAATCAATTGGCAGCAATAGTTAAGGCGTCATAACAACAAATTTGTGGGTATTTTTAACTATTTTCTGACAAGGAAATAGTTCAATGTACTCAGCATATCAAGCAATGATGAAAAGCATTAGTTGCAGCCCTTCTTTGGTCCTTAGTTTGTAACATGTTAAAGATATATGGTAGCATTATTCTGCCCTAAATCGACTGTCTTTTTCCAGGGTTTCTGTAGGGTCTTTAAAAGTCTTAAATTTCAAAATCAAAATTTAAGGCCTTAAAAAGTCTTAAATTCACTGAAGTTTGTGTTCTAGGTGTTAAATGATTTTAAACCAGTCTTAATTTTCAACTTCCATGTAACGCTACCTCAAATGCTCATTGAAATGCTCCTGCAGCGCTCGAGTTTTTTCTTCCCATGGTGTTGTATTTTTTCTTTCGCTAGTCCAAATATATTTCACTGTGTTACGACTACAAAGACCAATATGCAGCTGTGGGGTTATTGCCGGGAGTCTCTTTCGGATTTAGCACGGATATAAAACGGATATATTCTTCAGTTGTGCGAAAGTGCAACCTCAGCAACTCTTGCCTGAAAAAAACAGAGCTTAGGGCTTGGTTAAAACCAGTCGCTAGTAACGTATTTGAAGAGTACTGTCGCTACTTAATGAATGAGCGCCACTACTAAAATTTCACACGATCGTTGATGATTTCAAGAGGGTGGTGATGGGGTAGTGGATAAGACACGCCTTTTTTGTGAGAGACCCTGGTTTGAATCCACTGTGAGACACCAATGTGTCCCTGAGAAACACTTACATAGCAGTTGTAAGTCGCTTTGGGTAAAAGCGTCAGCTAAAATGAATAAATGTAATGATTTTTGTCACTGAACTTGTATCTTGCTGGTGAGGGATTAAGCAAATAATTGAGTTACAACAAACCATTGTCTTTGAAGAATTTTTTTAATGAAAGAATAAACAGAAGTACCAAAACACATATACAGATGGTCCAGAGACCTGGTGCCTAGGGCATTTTCGGGCGTCTGCAACAGCAAGAGGGGGAAAACACAAAAACAATCTCACAGCTCTGACCTAAACCCTAATAAATGTGGACAGACTAACATAAGGAGCATAGAAGGAGGAAAGGTTATGGATAAAAACACAATACATATATATCTATAAGACATAACAATAATAATAATAAAACATAAAAGATTAAATGTAAGAGGATGCAATTTTCTGCCATAACAATTTTTAGTAAGCTACGGTAACACTCAACGCATGGCTGTCTCCCTCTCCTCACTCTTCAAAGGACGAGCGAATGAGGGAGAGAGCAGCAGAAAGTAATGGTGAAAGTTATGAAAGTTAGCGGAGGACTTACAGCATTAAGTTGTAAGCTTACAGCTCTGTACTGTGCAGTACATCTTGATAGTTAAATTTTAAAGAAAGGACTGTGGTGACCACGGAAGGGCTAAGGTTAGTAACGTTAAAGCAAATTAGGGATGCTAACTAGTCCTTTTAAGCTAATGAGGAGATTATTCTTTTGGATTTTGATGCACAAATGAAATGCTTGTAACTATACAGAAGGGAGGTGGTTCTCATGTTGCCTAATTTTTATGTTCATTTCTACAAATATATAAAGCAGTAAATTAAGACACAAAAGGCAAACATGAACAGTCCTATCTGTAGGCCTAATATTTCTGAGGTCATGTTAACAGTGTTTTCCTGCCATTATTATGTGGTGAGGCTCAAAACTGCTTGGTGCTGTGCCATGAATGTAAAAATGTGGAGAGCATCAAAACTAATCACATGAATTTTCCCAGATCTGAGTCATAATTCAAACCCAGTAGATGTATTTAGCAAGTTTAGCTTTTGGGGTGGAGTTTATTCAAAATATGCTCTAGATTATCCAATTTATTATTCACAAATGTGCTAATAACAATGTTCCAAAATTATGAGAAATTGCATATTCCTTTATTGGAAAACAAATTGGAAAAAAACAATTCTTGGGGATGTCCACCAATCCCCCAACACAAAAATACCATCTTAATTTTTTACATTACACAGCCCTGTGAAAGAATGTTTTAATCCCCATGGACATTATATTTATTATTATTTGTAAATGTACCTGCTTTGCACCTGCCTCGACTTCTCCCCGTTCTCACTCACACACACACACAACTTGTCTCACACACAGAACTCGTCTTTTTTCTGGATCTTTCCACCCGTTATCCTTTTTCACAGCAGCAGGTGCACCACATGCCAGCTTGTTAATTTCGTAGCTTATCAATATTATCGTCCATCCTGGTGCTTCGTTGTTGACGTCGTCCAATGCCAATTTTGTAGACATCACCCAACCCTAATTTGACACATTTATTTATTCTGCAAGTAATTTTGTGACTGCATTTTCTTTATATGTTTCTTTTTTTGATGTTGTGATACAGGTCATAAATTTCATTCATAGTGGTCTTTGAAAAGGTCTTAAAAATTCTTAAATTTGACTAGGTGAAACCTGCAGAAAATCTGTTTTTCCTTCAGGCACTTGGCGTGTCAAGTCAGAGCGACCGTTCAACTATCAAGAAAAAGCTGAAGGACATGCGTAAGGCCCAGGAGAAGCAGGAGAAACAGAGAGAGAAAAGAGAGAAGGAGGTTCGACGCAGTGGGAGACTGCCAGCCAGCACTGACTCTGTCTGCTGAGGTAGCACCTCTTTACTCATAAAGGTCATCACTAGCAGAACCCTGAGCAAACCTGATTTTATACTTTTGGTGCCATGATGTTCGTGCCACATGATTTTAACGGCAACGACCACAGAGCACAGCTGCCAGGAGTGCACCTGTGCCAACTGAGGTGCCAGTTGTGATTTATGTTCACACTGCAGCTCCTGTTTCTTTTCTTATCATTTCTTCCGAATATTCAGACACATTTTTAGCTCAAACTATTTTAACTGAACAATGGGGGATGTCAAAAAAGTTGGGTATGTGACCAAAAAGGAATCCTAACATTTTTTACCACTCTAGAAAGTTAGAAGCTATAATTATAAAAAATAAAAAAAAAGTCTGTTTCAGAGGTATTGTAGTAGTTGCAGATCATGCACATATTTACCTATGGAAGTCAAATGTATACTGCTTTTTCAGCATTTTATATTTTTGCTAGTATAACTTGCCTGTTTCCATGTGCAACTCTTTTGCAGGAACAGTTATTGTACAGTTCTGATAAAAGCACTATATTTGCCTTTTAAGTTTCAATGGGCGACAAGGTTTTAAATGTATAAGTAAGTTTTATACATGTGCCTAATAACTGCATATCTTTTTTTTTTTTTTTTTTTTACCATTGTTCATTTTATACTATCTAAATTTTTCTACTAAGTAGAATAGCTAGGTTGTCATTTTTGCTGAATGAAAAGCAACAAACAAATCAAGTAGGGACGAGGTGAATGCTGCTTCTGCTGTCTGTGACTCTGGCTGTGTGTCGCTGACAAGGTACCATAATGCTCCGTGTAAATACACACGGCATGCAAGTCTGCTACATGTATACCTCACCGGCCCGTCAGACGGTAAGCCTATGACAAGGACTTGTGTGAGTCAGGAGCACAGCGTCGTGTATGAATGTGTGGCTGAACGGTGAGTCGTTCACAGTCAAACCGCCATGTGTTTCCTTTCTTCTTCTTGAGCATGTCTCCATGTTGGACTGCAAGAAAATTATGTTTTCCACAACTTCTGAATCAGAGAAACATTTCTTGGTACATATAGCATCATTAAACTAATTTTCACTTTATGTGGTGTGATTGTATTGTGTTCCAGTCTCACAGCTCTTCCTCTTTTTCTAATGGTAGTTAGCATTTACGGCGAGAACCAGATAACCACAAATATATTGAAACAGGAAATCTTCACCAGAGAAATTAGAGAAGCAACACAAACCTATACAATAGTTCTGTAATAGACGTGACTTTTATGAAACAAAAAAAATGTAATTGTTGACATGTTGATTTTTTTTGTCTGTATCTAGTGTTTTGGACAGCATAACACAGGTGCATCTCAAAAAAATTATATTGTGGGGTAAAAAATATTTTTTCCTGTAATTTAAGTCAAAAGTTGAATAAATTCTAGAGTTGTTACACAGTACAATATTACTGGCCTTTTTTGTTTTAATCTTGATTATGGCTTACAGCTCATTTAAATCAAATCCATATAAAAACATCAGATTAAAAGAATGTATTTTACAGAAAGGCTGACCTGAGAAGAGCCATTAATCTCTCACATAACCACAATAATGGAGAGGACTTCTGACATGATAGTTGTCCAGAAGACGCTCATTGACGCCATCTACAAGGAGGGTAAGCCACAGAATGTCATTGCTGAAAAAGCTGGCTGTTCAGAGTGCTGGATCAAAGCATACCGGTATTCATGGAAAGTTGGCTGGAAGGTTAAAGTGTGGTAGGAAAAGGTGCACAAGCAGCAGGGATGACCGCAGCCTTGAGAGGATTGTCAAGCAAAGCAGATTCAAGAACTTGGAGCTTCACAATGAGTGGACTGAGGCTGGAGTTGGTGCATCAAGAGCCACCAGGCACAGACTGTTCCAGGAAAGTAAATTTTGCTCGAGTCGAGTGGAACAGAATTCAAGTTGCTTGAAGTCCAATGTGAAGTTTCCACGGTCAGTGATGATTTCGGGTGCCATGCAGGGTTCGTACGGTCAAACCTGGAAAAGTCATGGAATTTGAAAATGTCTTTCCAGGCCTGGAAATGTTTTGGGGGTGAAAAACAAAATCCTTTGGGAAAGTCATGGAAATTAGTTTCAATTGGGACTAAATAATATAAGTAGTTCGACCTGCTACTGTAAACTTTCAACGTTAACCTCATTGCTCTTAATGCTGTTTTAACTCATCAATAATCATAACCATTAACACATTAGAGACCATTTTTCTTGCCCAAGGATTTAATAAATGAAAACAACCCACAAAAAGAAACTGCTGTATTGTTTAACTGGAATTTATACAGTGCTCAAAAAAAATAAAGGGAACACTTAAACAACACAATGTAACTCCAAGTAAATCACACTCCTGTGAAATCAAACTGTCCACTTAAGAAGCAACACTGATTGACAATCAATTTCACATGCTGTTGTGCAAATGGAATAGACAACAGGTGGAAATTATAGGCAATTAGAAAGACACCCCCAATAAAGGAGTGGTTCTGCAGGTGGTGACCACAGACCACTTCTCAGTTCCTATGCTTCCTGGCTGATGTTTTGGTCACTTTTGAACGCTGGCGGTGCTCCTCACTCTAGTAGTAGCATGAGGCGGAGTCTACAACCCACACAAGTTCTCAGTTAGTGCAGCTCATCCAGGATGGCACATCAATGCGAGCTGTGGCAAGAAGGTTTGCTCTGTCAGCGTAGTGTCCAGAGCATGGAGGTGCTAGCAGGAAACAGGCCAGTACTTCAGGAGACGTGTAGGAGGCCGTTGGAGGGCAACAACCCAGCAGCAGGACCGCTACCTCTGCCTTTGTGCAAGGAGGAGCAGGAGGAGCACTGCCAGAGCCCTGCAAAATGATCTCCAGCAGGCCACAAATGTGCATGTGTTTGCTCAAACAGTCAGAAACAGACTCCATGAGGGTGGTATGAGGGCCCAACGTCCACAGGTGGGGGTTGTGCTTACAGCCCAACACCATGCAGGACATTTGGCATTTGCCAGAGAACACCAAGATTGGCAAATTCGCCACTGGCGCCCTGTGCTCTTCACAGATGAAAGCAGGTTCACACTGAGCACTTGTGACAGTCGTGACAGTCTGGAGACGCTGTGGAGAACGTTCTGCTGCCTGCAACATCCTCCAGCATGACCGGTTTGGCAGTGGGTCAGTAATGGTGTGGGGTGGCATTTCTTTGGGGGGGCTGCACAAAAGAAATGCCATGTGCATTGTGTGCCATGTGCTCGCCAGAGGTAGCCTGACTGCCATTAGGTACCGAGATGAGATCCTCAGACCCCTTGTGAGACCATATACTGGTGCGGTTGGCCCTGGGTTCCTCCTAATGCGAGACAATGCTAGACCTCATGTGGCTGGAGTGTGTCAGCAGTTCCTGCAAGAGGAAGGCATTGATGCTAAGGACTGGCCCGCCCGTTCCCCAGACCTGAATCCAATTGAGCACATCTGGGACATCATGACTCGCTCCATCCACCAACGCCAAGTTGCACCACAGACTGTCCAGGAGTTGGCGGATGCTTTAGTCCAGGTCTGGGAGGAGATCCCTCAGGAGACCATCCGCCACCTCATCAGGAGCATGCCCAGGCGTTCAGGTCACACAGGCACGTGGAGGCCACACACTACTGAGTCTCATTTTGACTTGTTTTAAGGACATTACGTCAAAGTTGGATCGGCCTGTAGTGTGGTTTTCCACTTTGACTTTGAGTGTGACCCCCAAATCCAGACCTCCATGGGTTGGTAAATTTGACTTTCACTGAGAATTTTTGTGATTTTGTTGTCAGCAAACTCAACTATGTAAAGAAGGGAGTATTTAATGAGATTATTTCATTCATTCAGATCTAGGATATGTTATTTTGGTGTTCCCTTTATTTTTTTGAGCAGTGTAATATACCTAGTGGAAAAGCTTTATAGTATAATTATGACATGATGATGAATGGTAACATTATAATTAACTTTATACCAACGGTATACTAATAAATTAACTTTATACCTTTGTTTTTTTTTTTTTTTTTTTTTTTATTGTTATAATATTTTACTAATACACATGTCCTCATCCAGGTTGTGGATAGAGCCTCTGCTGTGTACAGGGGCGAGTCCAGCGCAGACAAAACGTTTCTTTCAACAGAAACGGTGGTCTCCTGAACACCCTGTTGTGTACGCAAGCGCACTGCATTTTCCCGGCTTTTTAACACCGTTGTGTTTACAATCTTGTTGCAGTTGATTGGGTAACACGTGAGACACGCCCACCAAACGGGAGAAAACACACCCCGAAGCCCGTTGCAGAACGTTGCGCAACGTTTCAAGGAAAAACATGTCGTTCAATCTGAAAACGTTGCAAACCGGTGCAAAACGTTTTGAGATTGAACTCGCTCATGGCCTCCCGCCTGGTGCCTTCCGCTAGTTTCTACATTTCAAAATAAAAGCTCGCGTCTTGTTCCCTATTTCTACCTGTTCTTTGGTGTTTTTGAACTGATAAATGAAGACTGTCATGCTAATAATAGTGCTATTATAATGCTATTCCAGCAATCTGATAGAAAGATTGTTTTAAACGTAGTTTCAAGTGTCAAAATAGAAATCGCGAAATTATGTGTGTTACACACTCCTGTACAGTAGATGGCGGTATGCACCTAAACGTTGTTTGCAATCCGGTCTTAATCAAGAGGAGAAGCAGCAGCAGGTAAAGGTGTGGGACTCAGGGTGAGTTCATTCATGCAATCAATTAAAAACGTATAAACTCTTAAATTACGATTTTTGCCATAGCTATACTTTGCAGATTTCTGGGTGTTATTGTTGTGTCCCTGACGTTAACGTATTTGATGAAACCTGCGATGACTTAAACACTTTAAACTGCAACAGCATTTCAATTGGACATTTGTTAGTGAATATTAGCTCAACACTAACTTGTTACCTATAGCAATTTATGATAACAGACTTTAGTGGTTTCTTTCTTTGATTTTTACCTAAGGAACACATCAGTGTCTGTCTTTCTTTCTTTTTTTTTAAATATCACTTGCTCAGGACAGTAGGCTGTGCCCTAGCCTACTATGCTGAGCAAGTCACTTGTTGCTAACAAAAGACTGTCTGAAACAAAAACCGATCTAAACACTGAATGAGAGCTGATTAAGAGTTTGATTTTGTTCTGTTTTTCTTATAAAGTACGTTGGAAGAGGTGAGCTGCGGGGGATATCTTCTGAAGATCCCCACCCTGAATCCAGCAGCAATTTCTGCCAATGTGCGGTGATAAATATTATTAAACAAAATAATAAACATGTTATACTCTCTCCAAGACTCGTTTTTATATTGTTTCCACACTTTATAGGGAAATCGTTGCAAATACTAAGCAATTGTATTTGCTATTCTATTGTGTATGTGTTGTTGGGTTAGAGACAGGATAAGCAGATATTTTATTAAAGGTCCAGTGTGTAATATTTCTGATGCTCTATCGACAGAAATGCAATATATCAGATCCATAACTATGTTTTCAGTGGTGTGTAAAGACCTTACATAATGAACCATTAGGTTTTTATTACCTTAGAATGAGACATGTATATCTACATAACCGCGAGCACCCCCTGCTGTTGAGGTCGCTGTATTTTGTCGTTTTGTTTCTACCGTAGCCGTCAACGAACAAACAACCCTACAGAGCGCGTTTCGTCATCACAGCCAAAAATGACATCAAAACCCTGTGACACCCCATGGCATATGAGAGATGTAACCGTATTGCTTAGATTATAAACTCTCCGCAATCTTAAAAAAAATGTTCAGTGATCAGTGACACTGCTTGGTGTTTGACAGGTGAGCCTTGTAGGTGGGCTGATTAATCAGTGATGATCCCAGTCAGACAAACACACTGAGCCATGAGACTTTTTGTTGGCGCAGCTCTGCAGATACCAGAATTATGGTTTTTCTGCCGTTGTTCTACGTCATTAAACCACGGTTATGCTGCGCGATCATGCGCAGTAGACGCTGGTGCCAACAGGAAGTAGCCCTCTAGTAGTATTTTATTGGTCCAAAACTGGCTTCACTGCTCTCCATTCAAATCAGCGGAGTGGCTTCGTCCAGTAATATACTGTCTAC